TATTTGTGCTCAGTGGTAGGGGCCTAAGCATTTAAATCTGAAGAGGAAATGCTCTGCGTCTGATCTCCATGCTGTCTATTATTGTCCGGACTCACTTTATTACCGCTTATCCCCACTGCTGCCTACATCAGCACATGGAGAACTACTGATGTCCAATCCGGAAGGGGGCTTTAAGTCCATTACCCCAGCCACTGCCCTCCACACATGTGCCTTGACTTTACAAAAGGGGACACTGAGGCCCAGAGAGTGCCCTGGTTTAGATCCCACAGATCCCAAGTATGCCTTTGGAGAAATCCCTTTCCCCTGAGCCTCAGTTTCCCTGTCTGTAAGCATGGCAGAGTTGGACTGGACACTCTGAGTCCCCCTTCCCTCAGTCCCAGCCTCGGTGCCCCTGTGTCTGTCCTCTGTGGGACAGTGCGTGGGAGCAATCTCCTCGTGTGACGGGAGGCCTGCTGGCATCTGGGGCCAGAAGTCACTGCGGGCTGCTTTGCAGTATTCAGTGTGTATGTGCCTCAGGCAGTGGAGGGCTTCTCGAATCTCAGCAGAAGAGGAGCGCAGGCAGAGAGCAGCCCATAGTGACTTAGAATCTGGTGACTTAGAATCTGGAATCCATGACAGCAGGTGGCCCCCCCCCCCGTCTCACTCTGGACCTCTGGGCCTTTGGGCCTTCTTTATTCTGGGACTGAGCACTACAGTACTCTACCAGGTCTCCCTCAGGGTGCCCAGGACCTAAGAACTGAAGATCTCTACTGTGCTCTTCTTACTTTTCATCTCTTCCTCCAACTGGGGGGAGATAACATTTTGAAGTAGTGGCTTCGCAGTTACAGGGTGTGAGAACTGAAGTTTCTTGGGGCATCAGGGATGTGAAGAAGCTGGGCAGAGGAAGGGAGGATCAGAGGCTGCTCTGAGAAGTAGGTTTGGGAAATGAATTTGGCAGGGGAGAGGGAAGAGATGGGCAGCAGCTTCATCTTTGGAAATCTGTCTCTTGCTTGATAGTCCACTTCCCAAAACCTCACCCAAACCCTGGTGTGGAGAGAGAAAAGAACAAAAGGGCTGGCAGGCTCAAACTGGCCCTGTCCTATTCTGACTTCAGAGTTTTATATTCGGACGCCTTGCACTGATTGGTCATTAATCCAGTGAGTTATCGTCTGCTAAACAGAGGTCACTGGGAGAGACACCCAATCTGTCCCTGTCCGTAGAGACGGGGTAGCCACTCGCAGGGGACTGGGTCCCTATTCCTCTCTTTCCCCTTCTCCCAGGACACCCCCACCTCTGCAGCCACCGGGATTCACAGCCTGCCCCCTCTGCCTTCTCCATCCTGCCCATCTTTGTCCCCACACTTGCTAGGGGTGGGGTCTGCAGGCCGGGACTGAGTTATGGCGAGGCAGGTCCCTGATTCCAAAGGTGGCCACCAAGCAGCTTGCCAGCTCCGGTGCTGCTCCAGGATGGCCTGGGCCCCTCATTAGCGTGGCCAGGCTGCCCGGTTCTTCTCCAAATCCACTTTGTTGGCCCCGGGGGCGGCGCGGGGGGGGGGGGCTGCCCTGTTTCTTCTCACCTCCCTCTGTGGGTCGGCCTGGGAGAGGGTAGCATCCCCACACCTGGCCTGGGGACAGAAGCACAGCTTGGATTTCTCTCCTCGCACCCCGGCAGTGTTTTTCTTCTTCCGACTCGCGCCATTGCTAAGCAGGGCTGTGCTGCTCAGCCACACAGGGCCCAGATCGGCTCCTCTCCGATGTCTCTTTGTTCCCTCCCACTCCCGCGCTTTAGAGAGCTGAAGATTGGGGAGATAAACCCCAAGAGCCATTTTCATTAACAACCTCCCCCCCAGCTTTGAAATCTTTCTTCATACTGGAGGAGATGGAGATTTGGGAGAGTTCGTGAACTTTTATACCACTGCCACAAAGTTGGGCAGTAAAACTGGAAAAAGTATGCGGGAGAGAATCCAGACAAGGCCAGCAACAAGCAACCCACTAACCACAAGCCCCAGGCTCCCAGCTCCCAGCTCCTCCGGTGAGCCCAGCCTGGTAACCAGGGACAGGATCCCCGGCTGCCCCAAGGTGCAGTTCCCTTGGTCTTGTGGAAAGAATTTTCGTTTGCTCTTTTATGGATTTTTGTTTAGGGGGGAGGACAATGCTGATCCTACCAAGGTCCAGAAGTGGGGGGTGGACAGCAATTGTTCTCAGGGCTTAGAGGGCTCCAGTCCCCCTCAGTATGGGGTACCAAGGGGAGTGCCAGAGCCAGAGTTGTGGCTCTTGGAGAAAAAGAGATCTAGGAAGGGGGAAATTTTCCTAATGTTTACATTTATTAATTTTTTGCTTTATTAGTTTACATGAGTTAATCTTTTTCTCAGTTTTCCCTTTTCAATCTCTCACATACACAGTTTTACAGAGAGAGAGAGAGAGAGAGAGAGAGAGAGAGAGAAAGTTACTGAAGTTTCTCTCCCTCAATTCAGGAAGAAATTGTTCCTTTCTCTGTCCCTAAATCACAGACTTCCTCCTCCTCTTTTCTCAGACCCCCCTGAAGCCCTCCGCCCTAAGCTCCCCGCCCAAGTCCCTGCCACCCACCATTTGTCTCCGGAAGTTTGAAAGGTCCCTAACCTGTAGCAACACTGCCAAGGAAACCAGGCACCCTCAGAGCTGCCAGCTTCCCTGCCTTCTGCCCTCTGGCCTCCCAGCCCCAATCAGGGCCAAGCAGCCTCCTTCAGAGAGAGGGAAAAAAGGCAAGAAAGGAACCAGATTGGGACCTGCTGCCTCTCAAGCAGTCCAAATGGATGCTGGTTTCCCTCCAGAGAGAGCAGAGCAGAGTCTCCTAGACATCTGGAGGGGTACATCCTTCGGGCCCCTTTGTGTTCTTGCTCCCCACTTTCCTTTTCACTCCCACTCCACAATCCCCCACCACCTTGTGCAGCCAGGTAGGGCCACCAGAACTTGTGGAGGATGGGAAGGCAGGGGCCCCTGCTGTCCCTGTAGCACATTTCCTCCCAGGCGGAGCATGCCAGGCCACTTCTCCCCTCAGCCCCACGCCCCCTGGCACAGACTGCAGCTGGCTGGGTGCCTTTTGGACTCTCCTTATTCCTCCAGGAAAAACTGCAGTCTGGACAGCCACCAGCTTCTCTTCCAACTTCACAGTGACCTTCTCTAGCCAGTGACTGTTAGAAGAATGAAGAGTCTAAAGTGCACTGTTGACTTTTGCACTTTGGGGAGCTAGAGTAAGATCCAAAGATACGGGCTCCCTGGAGCCCCTGGAAACCTCCGTGGCCCAGTCCCTAACCCACCAGGCCCAGAGGGGTCTAACCCTGTAGGTCTCCAGCCAGGGTCTGCTCCACATACTCATCCAGCCTTAAAGGGTCTCCTCCTCCGGAGGGTCCTGGCTCAGGCCCCAACACTTCCTCATGTTTTGTCTGGATGCTGCTAACAAACACAGAAAAATGGATCCCACCTTCGCTCCCGACCTCTCCCCTTCCCCTAGCCAGCTCTCCAGGCTGTAGGGCCCTCATTCAGGACAGCAGGAAGAGGGCTCTGCAGGCCACTCCTGTGCTAGAGGCCGCAAGCAGGCCCGAGGGCCCCAGCTGCTGCAGCCCACCTTGTCTGACTTGGCTGGGCTAGCAAAAGTGGGGGCCCTAGGCCGGGGACCACCCTCTTGCTCATCCCCCAAGCAGAGTTGGGGTAAGAGGGGGGTGCAGGACTCCTCATCTCAGCCAGACAGAGCCGCCCTCCCTCCGCAGAAGGCGAGACAATAGCTGGAAATCATCTCTCACCTTTGTTTCCCCAGTCCCCTGCCTGTCCTAGTGCATCCAGATGGGAGAAGCCAAAAGCCAAGAATTCTAACCAGGAAGTCATGGGGTGGTGGCTGACTGTCCAGGCGAAGTTAAGAGAACCAGCTCTCCCAGAAGAGTGACGGGCAGCCTTCTGTGCTGTCCCCTAAGCCCCGAGTCAGCAGTTAGACAGTGTTTCGGAGGCTCCTGCTTGGGAAAGTGTCCTGGCGCTTTTTTTTTTTTTTTTTTTGTCTTTTTCCTCCTCCGAGAATGGTTCTTCCCCACCCCCACTCCACCCAAATCTGCAGACATCTACATTCTTGGCTTCTGTCTTCCTCCCACAGGCCACCTCCTTGCCTTTTCCTGCCCTGCTCACATGCACCCTAAGGAAACTTTAGCTTTTGTAACCTTCCTCACTGGTGCCAAGAGTCATAAATCTTGCAGAGCAGAGAGAAACAAACAGGTTTGCCCTGAATGAATAGTAATAATAATCCTAGCCATCCTCCATCCTCTCAGCTGCTGCCTTTAACATGAAGCCATTCTGCTCGTTGAGCTCATCTTCTCAGAAGTACAAATGTCCTGGTCACCTCTCGGGCCCTTCTGCCTATCCGGAGGTGACAATCTTCACAGAAACTTCTCCATGAAGTTCTTACAACCGCTCTGCAGCCGGCGTCCAGAGCTCCAGCTAAACTGCAGGGTCCTCCTTCTGTCACCCTCTCCTCAGCTCCACTGCCCCTGCAAGATGTTCTGGGTTTTTTAATCATCACTCACCGCTTGTTGTCTGTTCTCAAAAAAAAAAAAAAAAAAAAAAGAGGGAGGAGGGTTAAAAAAAAAAAGTCAGCCTTTGCACCCTCCCCGGGGTAGGGAGCTTGTGCCCGGAGGTCTTGAGGGTGGGGGAGAAGGATGGAGAGGGTGTGGAGCAGAGAGGTACACAGCCTGGGAGTGAGTGTTGTGAGCCAGGACAGTGGGAGACCCAGCCACCAGCCACCAGTCCCGGAGGAGTGAAACTCCTTAAAAAAAAAAGTCCTGGTGCTCCAACTGCGAAAGAGCGGAGGGACGCCCAGCACCCCCGCCCCAGCCGGCAGTCCCCTCTAGGCCGCCTGAGGCCACTTCTCAAATTAGCATAATGATTTACTAGTGGGATGGGGGGGGGGCGGTGCTGTAACTCCAAGGCGCGCCTCGCATTTTCTCTGTCTTCCCAGATCTCAATTTTTAAAATTTATTTGTTCTTTAAAAAAAAAAAAAAAAAAAACCAAAGCAAAGCAAACCCATCCCGAGCTCCTTTCTCACTTTTTTGGGGGGGGGGGCGTATCTAAAACGCCCCCTCCCACATCAGCACCAGCACCTTCCCTCCTTATCAAGCATCTAAGCTTGCTAAAGGGGGAGAGGTGGGGGTGTGTGTGAGCTTGTGTGTGAGTGAGTGTGTGTGTGTGTCTGTGTGGTTTTTTTTTCCCTGTGCAAAAGCAGAGGCCATTGTTACAGAGAGTAGGGCGTACCAGTCTTATAGGGCAGGCACACTGTGGCGGCTTGGCCGTGCCGGCGCTGGAGCTGCATCCCTGGCGAGCCCAAGAGCCCCAGCACCTTTCGGTCTTCTATTTTTTTCCCGATCCCCCACCCCCTCCCTCCTGCGCACCCCCAGCTCCTAAGCCGAGTGAATTGAAGCGGACGCCGCGCCGGCTCCTCTGGCCGCTCTGCCCCTCGGGCTCCCCAGCAGCCGGGGTGGCTTTGGGGAGGGGGGGCGGGCGACGAAGCTTTAAACAGTGGTCTTTTTTTCCTTTGCCTTCAAGGAGGGGAGATTTCTCGCCTGCCGCTCGCGCTGGGGCTCGATGTGAATATATATTATGTCTGCCTGTTCTCCCCTCGTCGGTGGCTAAGGTAAGCTGGGCTGAAATAGGCTATCAGTTTGTGAATGGCGGAGAGTATGTCTCAATGATTTATGGCCCATATGACTCCAATCTCGGTTCAAGAAGAGTTCACAAGCTTTAAGCTTCCTTCCACGCAGCGACTGACTCTCTCTCTCTCTCTCTCTCTCCCCCTCTCTCTCTCCCTCTCTCTCCCCCTCTCTCCCTCCCTCCCTCCCTCTCTCCCTCTCTCTCCCTCTCTCTCCCTCTCCCTCTCTCTTTCTGCTTCTCTCCTTTTCTCCTCTCTTTTCTTCCAGCAGCTAGAAAGATCCAGGGCTGAATTTTCCCCCGGTTGCTAAGAAGAGCCTAACCTTTCTTTCTCTCATTCTTTTCTTCCATTAATTTTTTTAAGTCCTGGAAGGTGGCTGTCTTCTCTCCCCCGGGGCTTCTCCAGCTATTGTTACCCTCCCTGGCTCTCCCGAGGCCGTGCCTGGCAAGGTGGGGTTCTTTGGGGGGGGGGCTCACCTCCTTTCTCCAGCGGGACCCAGGGGGAAAGCTGGGAGCCACTGTCTCCCTCCACCTTTCACAGGAACCATATGGAGCCTGAATTTTTCCAACATGGAGGAAAGGGAAATAGGCATGTTTGGCTGGGTAGAGCTGCTCCCCACCCCCTCTTCTCCTGTATCCCAAATCTCAGAACCCCTCTGCACCTTCCTTCGTCCGCTGTCCCACCAGCCAGACCTAAGCTCCCTCCAGCCCAGAGCCCAGCCTGGCAAAGTTGCTCAGGCACCTTTTAATTCGGTTACCTCCAGCGCCCAAACTTGTGGCTGCGGGGCCAGGCCCTGGGCTGGCCCAGTGTGCTGGGAACCTGTCGCTGGCCACCCCAGTGTCCAGATCGCTTTCTCTTCCCCTTCTTGGGCTGGCGTAGGCATCATAGCTGGTTGCCAGCCACTGCGGCAGGGCAGCAGCCGCTGAGACAGCCTGGCGGGGGCAGCGTCAACAGCCAAACACTGTCCCGCTGCAAAACCCTTCGCAGCCCTGTGTCACCGCCTCCAGTCTCCATTCTTTCCTATCGGTCTGTGGCTCCTTCGCCTCTCACACTCCGCCTGGCCTCCGTCCTGCAATGGTTTGGGGTTTATTGCAGGGGGAGCGACAGAAATTTCGACCCCCCGGGCGTCTAGTCAAATTATTGTTTTATTATTATTACCACCATCATCATCATCATTATTGCTGTTACAATCACTTAGCCTAAATAAAGCCAGGGCCCAGCCAGCTAACCCCCTCCAACGCTTTTATTTCATTCTCTATCTATTAATAACAAACTCAACTGATGCCTGTTAATTAATTCCCCTTTCAGCCAGGGCTACTTGGAAGCTAATTTTGGTTAAATCATCGGAGGCTAATGGTGATAATAATAAAGGGATTGGGTCAGCCTGGTCAATTGAACTCCAGTTCTCCCTGGAAGGACCCTCCTGCTTTGCAGACCCATGTGTATTTCCAGAAACAATTTTTTTCTCACAAACCAATCGGAACTCAGGGCCATCCGACTCCCTTTTGAGTATAAATCTGTGCCACTGAGAGCAGGGATTTATGTGTGGGAGGGACTTCCTTCACTCGCACTCCTTTTATTTTATTTTCCTAATTTTAGTTTCCTTTGGAGTTGACCAGCTGGGCTGAATGAGATTTAAGTTTTCCCAACACTCATGACAGGAGAGAGGATCGGAAGGAGATTTTATGAAAAGTGATTGAGAGGGATTGGAGAACATAGGCAGGGCGCGCGGTTAGAAGTTTCAGATAAATACACAAAATTCTGTGGCCAACCCAGCTCTTTATTTTACAGGCACACTTTTATAAGGCTGCATTAAAATACTGATTGCATTTTTACCTTTATTTTTGCCTCAGGGATCCACAGTCAACGGGGTACCCCCGGTTTCCAACCCAGAGAATAATCTTGTTCAAATTGCTTTGTGGATTTTTTTTTCCTCGAATAATTTTCTGTTTTAAGGCACTTTTCTCGACTCATTAGCAAAGTCTATCAGTTACACAATTTCTTTTTTCTTCTTCTTCTTTTGGCGAAATCAAAGAAAACAGACTGTCAAGAAAAAGGGGGGGGAAATTGTCATGGCTGGAGACGGGGAGAGGCTTGGGCCAAATGGTCAGGGCACCAACCGGCTTCGGCCCTGGGAAGCCAAAACAACCCTACTCCATTTGGAGGCTCCAGGGGGGTCCGGGGCCTGGCTGAGCGTGGAGCTGACTGGAGGTTATGGTACCTGCAGCGGGCCCGGATGGACGAGGCTGGGTTCGCTGGCTGGGGGCTAAAACCTTCAGGAAGTTTCTAGGTCACACTGGCGTCCGCTTGGTGCCGTTAGTGCTGGAGGCCCGGAGGCGAGGAGACCTCCCAGAGCGATCCCCTGAACTTGCCTCTCCAATCTCTGTCTCCTGCTTTCCTCCAGGCCAGACTACTTAGGCGAAGGATGGAGAGGGAGGCAGAGGCCTCTCAGCTCCGAGGCGGGCTTGGAGACGCTTTTCTTTCCAAGCTGGCGGGGCCCCCACCGCGGAGCCACCCTAGCCCCGAGTTGGGGGAGGTTGGCAGAGGGAGTGGGACAGGCAAGGGGTGCTCCGAGGAGCAGCGGCGGCCCGGGCAGCGCTGGGGCCGGGCTCCGAGGCGGCGAGCACAGCCCTTAGTTTTGAAGTGGAAATGAAAACTGTCGGGCATTTTTCTTTTAAAATCAAAGCGTGTAAATACTAAAAGTCCCATTTCGGGCTAGAGACAGGGTCTCAGCAACAGCTCTGGAGGTGTTGGGGAGGGGAAAAGGAAAAACCCTATTGATGTCAGTTCCCTTTTCAGTTCTTAAGATGGATTCGAGTCCCAGCCCTCTTCTTCCCCCTTGTGTCTCTTCTCTTGCCCCGCAGGTCAGCCGCTCCGAACAGACCCGGGAGGAGGGGGGCAGAGAAGGGGGGGGGGTCCGGCGTGTCACGTGACCCCCAGGGGTGCCAATGTCCGGTCGTGAGGGTATCAGGCCCTTGCAAGTTGCCACCCACGGCCCGGGCCTCGCCCAGCGATGCAGAAAGCCACCTACTACGACAACGCGGCGGCCGCCCTCTTCGGAGGCTACTCCTCGTACCCTGGCAGCAATGGCTTCGGCTACGACGGCCCCCCCCAGCCCCCCTTTCAGGCCGCCACGCACCTGGAGGGTGACTACCAGCGCTCAGCGTGCTCGCTTCAGTCCCTGGGCAACGCCGCCCCCCATGCCAAGAGCAAGGAGCTCAACGGCAGCTGCATGAGGCCCGGCCTGGCCCCCGAGCCCCTGCCCGCCCCGCCGGGCTCACCCCCGCCCAGCGCAGCACCCACCAGTACCACTAGCAACAGCAGTAACGGGGGAGCGCCTGGCAAAAGCGCGGCCCCCAAGTGCGGGCCTGGCTCCAACGCCACCCTCACCAAACAAATATTCCCCTGGATGAAGGAGTCGAGGCAGACGGCCAAGCTGAAAAGCAGCTCCCCCGGCACAGGTACCAGCTCCCTGCCTTCCCGTCAGCAGCTTTTGTCCCGGGCTAGGAATGTCACTGTTATTGTAGCGCCCAGCCCCGCGGCGCCCTCCAGGCGGCCGGGAACAATCTTAAGTGGCGGCCAAGCCCGGTCGTTTTCCCCCTCACCACCTGATGACCCCTGATCCCGCCAACACCCCGTCCCTGCGGCCACCTGGGCTTCTGAGAAGTCCAGGAGCTGGGGCCTGTGCCGCAGAGCCCCTCCCCAGGCCGCCCAGCCAAGAGGCGCTGCCAGGAGTCGTCAACGATGATTATTAAGTATGATTATTGTGTGTATTAATCACCGTCGCTCTGGTGGCCCGGGGTCCCGGCCTGCAGGCACAACAGTCAGTCTCTCCGCCCCACACTTCCAGGCCCTGCCCGCGACTGTCTGTCCAGCCTCCCTCCAGGGTTCTTGGTCACCCATCCCGTCCCTGTAGGATGGGGATAAGGATGTCTTTCCCAGACCTGGAATTGGGAAGGAGGAGAAAGAGCGCAGCAAAAAAAAAAAAAAAAAAAAAAAAAAAAAAAGATCCAGTCCTAAATAAATGGCCATGCAGCTCTGTCTGCGTGACATGATCAAATTTTCATAAGCTGGGGCAGTGAGAGGAGAACAGGTCTCTTAATAAATGCCACTATTATAGAGTGTCCGCTAATGCGACGGGCGGTGGGGAGGGGTAGGAGGAGGCGGGGACGTGCAGGGGAGGGCGACGGGGGCTCTGAGTCCAGGCCTGGATTTATTAAGAAACGATGCATTCAATTTCGGCGTGTTCAGTAATTATCTTTTATTTCATTTTCTCCCCTTCCCACCCCTCCCCCCTCGGATCCAGCAGAGGGCTGCGGCGGCGGCAGCGGCGCAGGAGGCGGAGGTGGCAGTGGCGGCGGCGGCGGCGGCGGCGGCGGCGGCGGCGGGGGCGGGGACCGGAGCCCCCCGGGGTCAGCGGCGTCCAAGCGCGCGCGCACGGCGTACACGAGCGCGCAGCTGGTGGAGCTGGAGAAGGAGTTCCACTTCAACCGCTACCTGTGCCGGCCGCGCCGCGTGGAGATGGCCAACTTGCTGAACCTCAGCGAGCGCCAGATCAAGATCTGGTTCCAGAACCGGCGCATGAAGTACAAGAAGGACCAGAAGGCCAAGGGGCTGGCCTCGTCGTCCGGGGGTCCGTCTCCCGCCGGCAGCCCCCCGCAGCCCATGCAGTCCACGGCCGGCTTCATGAACGCCTTACACTCCATGACCCCCAGCTACGAGAGCCCGTCCCCGCCCGCCTTCGGCAAAGCCCACCAGAATGCCTACGCGCTGCCCCCCAGCTACCAGCCCCCGCTCAAGGGCTGCGGCGCCCCGCAGAAGTACGCCCCGACCCCGGCGCCCGAGTACGAGCCCCACGTGCTGCAAGCCAACGGGGGCGCCTACGCGACGCCCGCCCTGCAGGGCAGCCCGGTGTACGTGGGCGGGGGCGGCTACGCGGATCCGCTGCCGCCCCCTGCCGGGCCCTCCCTCTACGGCCTCAACCACCTCTCCCACCACCCCTCGGGCAACCTGGACTACAACGGGGCGCCCCCTATGGCCCCCAGCCAGCACCACGGACCCTGCGACCCGCACCCCACCTACACAGACCTCTCCTCTCACCACGCGCCTCCTCCTCAGGGTAGAATCCAAGAAGCGCCCAAACTAACACACCTGTGATGGGAGGGGGAGGTCAAGGACGAGGGAGGGCTGTGGAGCTCTGCCAGGTGCGCAGGGAGGTGGTCGCCAGGCCTCCCGGGCCTGGGGCTCCCTCCCTCCTCCCTGGCCCGAGGGCTTGCTTTCAGTCCTCCACCCCTTGGTTCCATCTGCGGGCCAACCCATCGGGAAGGAATTCACAGCAGATTGGATCCGACCCCCGTGCTCCAGGGCTGCGGAGCTGGAATTCCACGCTGGAGAGGGAGTGGGGTTCACGAGATCGATGTAGGAAGGCAAGGCAGAGAAGCACAGTCAAAAAACAAACAAAAGAGATGGCCAGGCCTTCACCAACCGACCAACTTACCTTACATCTCTGGGTTAGCCCCCAACTCTTGATATTTCCCCCACTCATTCTCCTTAAGAAAATAAGAAAACACATTGAAACCCAAGGGCACAAAGCACGTCCCCCTCCCACTTCCCTGAAGCCTCGCTGTTGGCTCTGGCTGAGGTTTCTCAGCCGAGGCCTCCATTGCCAGCCCCAGGGTTTTCTGCTCTGGGACATTCACATCTACACCTCACCCCCATCAGTGACAGTTTTCAGAGGGCTCAGGGATGGTGACAGATCCTGAAAGTCAGAGCTGCCTATAGTATAAATATATATATATTTTTCTTTGAAGGGAAAGTTAGGAGGCCCAGGCAGGCAAGGACTGAAGTTTTGCCTGTTCTGCCGCCCCTCATCTCAGCTCCTGGTCCATCCCCCTCTCTCTGCAGAAAGCAATCAGCCACGTGAAATTTTTCCACTTTTCTTTTCTTCTGTTGCTCTCTTGACTTAACGTGAAAACAGGGTATATTTGAACAAACTGTTTGTCCCCGACAGGGTCTGCAGCCAGGCCTACCTATGTGGCTTGCTCAGCCTGCTGATGGGACACTTTTGTTGCACTTAGAGTTTACATTTTAATGGATATAAAAACAACTGTGAGAGATGCCTGGGCCTGTAGAAGCCCAGCATTGCTCAAAAAGCGTGTGTTCTAGTGAACATTTTCATATATATTTATTGGTTATAGCCTGTTAAAATATTTTCTTTTTTGTATTATTTATCCCCCCTACATTATGTATTTATATGAGGAAAAGGAAAAAATTGTACTTTTTTAGTATTTGTTATAAAGGGCGTTGTGTTTCCTGTCATGTAAAACCAGCTATTTTAGTTTTTATCGTACTCTAGAATAAAGAGCTATAGATTTATGTTAACCTCGTACTTATGAGCAATTGTAATTAGTTCTAAATGGCATGAAACTCAGCTCCTAATGGTCACTGTATAGTCCTGAATTTGTAGAGTTAGTTAATTCTCTCTTGGAACTTTCTTTGTTCTTCTGTAGTTATTTTTTTCCTTCCTTAAAAGGGTTGTCTGTCAAGCAATTCTTGAATAAACTTTCTGTTATCAATTTTATCTTGTCCTAGTGGTCCAATTTAGATAGTAGAGCAAGGCTCCTGACACCAAATTTCCCCCAAGGGAAGGAAAATATTGAAGACCCTCCCTGGCCCTCTTGTCCACTGCTCAGGTCCCCATCTCCGCTTTGATGTTTTTTGGGTTGAAATACAGGGATTTTTTTTGTAATCACACATAGGAGCCTGAAACCTTGTGTCAACTCCCTTAGCTAAGATTTAAGAAACAAGTTGGGGGTGGGAAGGGGATTCCTGGGTACCCTGGGTCTTTCTATTTAGCCTTCTGCTGTTCGGATTTTCTCATTGCTTGACCTTTTATCTGGTTCCTTCTTTGGCTACAACCTCTGTTGTGCCACCTTCCCCCTCCCCCCCTAAAAAAGCAAAGCAAAACAAAACAAAAATCTGGCTGATTACTGTTTCTTCTAACCAACCTAAACTCCGCAATCCTCTTCCGGAGCTACAAAGAAGTCGTCACGTGACCTGAAACCCAACCACCATTGGGTCTAAAATGAAAACAAAGGAAAATGATTAATCTAAAAAAAAGAGAAAAAATCTGATGTCTAGGCTTCTGGGGTCAAACCTTGAAAGTAAAGTGAAATTAAATCACTAAATAAAACTTGGGGCAGAGGGAGAGGAGGGAATTTTGATTTCCCCAGCCAGGGAAAGGGGGAAAGAGTGTGGGAGAACGCGTTGGTTCCAAGTGTAAATAAAATGGTCCCCAGGCTAATGTGCGGCTCCGTTTCCATGATCCTTGGGAAAACTTCATTTCTTAGTCGTGGTTCCATGAAAGTTTTATCGCATTGTAGCGAGGACAGAGAGTTTCTGTCAAAGATGAAATGTCACCGCCGTGTCTCTGGAGCCGATAAGAGCGCGGAGACAGGGTGGCTGAAATATGGAGCTAATTCGTTGAAAGAGAAGCGATGGCTGCTTGCTGAAGAGTTGCATAATTCTAATTGTAAGCGATGTGCCGCACTGCTTAATTAGGAGCATATATTTGGTGGTGGGGGTGGGGAGGTGAGTATCATTCCAGGCCCTCAGTCTTAAAGCGAAAGCTGATTTTCATTTTTATGTTGCATCCTGGCAATCCAAGGTTAGTAATTACAGCCTTTATGCAACAATAAATAACAATAAAAAAGCAACCTGAATTCTGCACACACACACACACACACACACACACACACACACACACCAGTTGGATTTTAACTGGACTCGGCTCACCCAAGCAGCAAGCAATTTAGCATTGGGTCAGGCTATAATTTAAAGGCAGAAGAGCATGCAAAGTTTGATTGGGATCAAATAACGCTCAAGGGTCTGTCTTTATTTTTTTTTCTCTCTCTCTCTTCTCTTCTCTGAATAACATTTTGTGAATAATGTAACTAGATGAAGACCCGTGTTTGGCTCTGGAGGTGGGATGGATTGCTGATTTATCCAACTGGTGAGAGAGTGGCAGGCCAAGAGAGGATTTTGCTAGAACAGGAAAAGCAGAGCTTTGGCTTGAAGCTGGGGTTGCAAACAAAAATCAGACCAACCTGGCCTGATGTTCCCTACCCTTCTCTCTGCGAGGGGCTCAGCTAAAGCAGCCCAAGATGTGGGTAAAATCTCTGTGCTCCGTAAGTCCCAGCACAACAGGGGAGCAGCGGGGAGGGAGGGGTGACTTTGGGAAGGGGGCCTCTCCCGGCCCCTTTTAACACCCAAGTTTTCAGCTCTCCCCTAATCTGGCCATAAAATCTGTCAGCGAGGGCAAGAGAGCTGTATTTCGTGCTCAGGTCCTTGTGGGCCCAAGGTACCTGCTTGCAGCCAACTGCAGTGGTCGTTAGAAAACTTGCAGGGGTGACCACGAGGCCAGCTGGGGAGAAAACTCTCTCAGGCCTCCCTGCGGTTTACAGACAGCTACCCTTTGGATCCTTCCCTGCCCACCTCCATCCACACCTCCAAGTGACAAAAATGGTTTTCTACTGGCCCAGCTCGGTGCAGCTCTGGCGATCGAGTCCCCCACAGCCTGCAGTCCCCACCCCCAGCTCCCTTTTCTCCGGCCTGCTCTCCTCCACCCCCACCCTCCTCCTAGCCCTCTCCGCCCTCCTTTTTAAATACTCACCACCACCCACGCGGATGTTACACTGACAGAAAGTTTCTAGTTCCAGCTCCAGGCCGAGATGCCATTTCCCTGCTAAGCAGCCTTCTCCGCCCGGCAGGGCGGGCGACCGAGAGCCAGGAGGGGGAGGGGAGGCCCGAGCCGTGGGAGTTCTCGGGCAAACTTTCCACCCAGCTCAGCGCCTTCCCTCTGTCCCCATTTCCCATCTGTTTCCTGGCTCTCCCAGAATCACCTTTCTCTTTTTGCCACCCCCTCCCTCAGGCCTTTTTAAGGGATGTGGAATTTCGGCTGTTCCTTCTGCTTTCCCAAAGAGCCAAATTCTTTGATGCAATCGGAGGGAGCTGTCAGGGGGCTAAGATTGATCGTCTCATCTCTGCTCAGTCCCTCTGACCCACTTATTTAAAAATCTTCCCCCAGATAGACTTTTCATTTTCTGCTTTGAGGCCTAGTTTCCCACCAATTGCTTGTGGCTCTGAGTCTTTGCCTCCTCCCTCTAGTAAATCACAGCACTCTCTAAAAGTTCAGATTCCCTCGGCCCCCTCAAAATAAAATAAATAAACATTTTCTCCCAGAGGCCAGAAAATGGAATACTGTCTTATTAGTTATTATTTCCACTCCCTCCACTCTCAGGGAATTCTTTCTTGCCAAGGATAAATATATATTTTTTAATTTTTTATTTTATTTTAGAAGAAGCACAATAACAAAAACAGAGAATGTTTCTTTGTCTGAGGGAACCCCCACCCCACATATTGACCTGAGCTTGAGAGGTGAACAGATGGCTGCCTTGGTTCTTGTGTGGAGACAGAGGTGTACAGATAGGCCTTGAGGCAGGCGTGGGCGCTTCTACATCTCAGACCCTCCTGTTGTAGGTTTCCGGGTGTCCCAGAGATGGCAGGTGGACAGCTCCTTGGGGCTGTGTTGGCAACACTGGCAGAGAAGGGACCCTAGGCCACAGGCCATGCAGGCCAGTGGCCCTAAAGTGCCACTCACCATCCATCTAGCTCCCTCCTCCGAAGCGGCCTGGGAGTGCCTGTCCATTTCTGCCAAGATTTAACTGATGCTTCTAGGGGCCAGGTTGGGTGGAGGTGCCGCTGACTGTAAATCCCATGTCTGGCTTGTCTGTATCTCAACATAGGCCTTCCCCAGAGGGTGGGAGCCTCTGCCTCCCTCTTCCCCCCACATTGAGATACTCATCTTTCTTCTGGGGAATAGGGGAGAGGGAGAGAGGATGTTGCTGGCCATGTGAAGAAAGCATTCATTTACTCTATTTTAGTCTTTGGGAAAGAGGGCTGTTTCTTCCAGGGATTCAGTTGTCGGCCAGGGTTCCACAACCTCCCATCCTGGGGACAGAAGGAGGAAGAGGTTTCTCTAGCTTTCCTGCAGAAAAGGGGTTATCCCAGGGAGGATGTGCAGACCTGGTGTAGGCCCAGGGGCTACTCCTGTCCAGGTCGTGGTCCTCTGGAGTTTTTGCATCAATTAAAGCAAATAATGCTCTCTGTTTTCCACCAGGCCCAGACAAGTGATTGGCCGAGACCGGTCCCGTGACCACAAATTCCCTGCAATTTCGCCGGAGTCCTGGGTTTAATAGAGAGAGTCCCCATACGCTTGTATTTATCAGCTATATACAATTATAAAGGCCCAAAATTTAAAAAAAAAAAAAAAGAGCGAGAGGGAAATCTCCTCCTCTCAAAATCGCTCCATTGCAGAAACCTGGGGGGCGGGCAGGAGAGGGGGTCCCTTCCGAGATCCTCCCTCCTGACGCCCCCCCAGCAGCCCCCTCCCCCACCATTGAAAGCCATGAATTTTGAATTTGAGAGAGAGATCGGTTTTATAAACAGCCAGCCATCGCTCGCCGAGTGTCTGACTTCCTTCCCCGCTGTCTTGGAGACATTTCAAACTTCATCAATCAAGGAGCCGACATTAATTCCTCCTCCTCCTCCTTGCGAGCAAACCTTCCCCAGCCTCCAGCCCGGCGCCTCCACCCTTCAGAGACCCGGGAGCCAAAAGCTAGCCGAAGATGGGCCTGCTCGACCGCCACCACCGCCGCCCCCGCCGGCACCGCCTGTCCCCGCCGGCCCCCTGGCCCCCGAGTTCCCCTGGATGAAAGAGAAGAAATCTGCCAAGAAACCCAGTCACTTCGCCTCGTCTCCGGCCCCGGCCGCTCCCGTCCCGGGCTCCGGGGTCGGCTCGCCCGCAGGTCGGTGAGCGCGGTGGGGGTGGGGCGAGGGGCGGCTGGGGAGGGGGAGAGAGCGGTGGGGCGCAGAAGAGGTGGCCAGTATGTTGGGGATCCCTCGGCGGTGGGTCCCCGTGATGAGGAAGCAGAATGTCCTGCTGGGGTTTAGGCCTGGCCGCCGCTGGCATTTTCCCTCCCTCCATACAGCGGATTTTGCAAGCTGGTTGGAAAAGAGCCTTTTCTATGGTAGCCGAGAAGGATTCCATTGAGGTTTCCAACCAGCCTCTGTGTGGGAGAATGAGTCCTGTTGCTGGGATTGAATCTGGGGTGCGGGGTGGGGGGCGGGGAATGCAATCCTCCTCATGTTCCAACCTCTAGAAGAAAAGGGGCATTTGAGAGCTAGCAAGGAAAAGGGGTGAAGAACTATCCCGATGAACCCACTCCCCGGGGTGAGTGGGAAATTTCCGAATTGAGGGGTCCACTGGGAGGTCTCGGGAGGGCGTCTCTGAGGTGCTGGGAGTGAGGGGCAGCCGCTCCTCGCCCCCTACGTGGCCCGTGGGCGGCTCTGAATGGTTTGCCCTTACCGGGTCCCGGGTCTGCCAGCGAAAGAGGGGGAGGAAAGCAGCGAGAAGCGAGCCACTTGGATGGGGGTGGAAGGTGAGAAGGGGCGACTGCTGATGGGGTGGTCTCGATCGCGGGGCTGGGGGCACAGCCCGTGTGACTGACGCCGGGTCTGCTTTCCCTGCAGATGGCCCGGGACTGCCGGAGGCCGGCGGCGGCGGCGGCGGCGGCGGGGCGCGCAGGTTGCGCACGGCGTACACCAACACGCAGCTGCTGGAGCTGGAGAAGGAGTTCCACTTTAACAAGTATCTGTGCCGGCCGCGCCGAGTCGAGATCGCAGCCCTGCTGGACCTCACCGAAAGGCAGGTCAAAGTCTGGTTCCAGAACCGGCGCATGAAGCACAAGCGGCAGACGCAGCACCGGGAGCCACCCGACGGGGAGCCCGCCTGCTTGGGAGCGCTGGAGGACGCCGGCGACCCCGCGGAGAACCCTGCATCCAGCCCAGGCAGCCCCTCCGCCTCCCGGGTGGCTTGGGACGCCTGCTTGGGCTTAGCCCAGATCGCGCCGGGACTCCCGGAGGTGCCGGGCCCCGGACCCCTGGCCGCTTCTGCGGAGGCTGCGAGAGCGCCGAGCCCCGGGTGCGCGCTGCGCAGAGCCAGCGCGCTGGAGCCCGAGCCCCTGCCGGAAGCCGCCTCCCCGGAGCGCCAGGACTCGCCTTTCCTGCCCGCCCTCAACTTCCTCGCCGCAGACTCCTGTCTCCAGCTTTCTCCCACCCTGCAGGGCTCGCTCGACAGCCCGGTCCCCTTCTCCGAGGAGGAGCTGGACTTCTTCACTAGCTCGCTGTGCTCCATTGACGTGCAGTTCCCCTGACCCGCTCCTCACTGCCTTTCCCGCCCTGCACTCCGTGCCGGCTGCTGGAAGAATGGAGCCTCCCCCACCCCCAGTCGCATTTACTTATGTTTTTACTAAAAATCCAGGTATTAATGAATTAGCGTTGCATCCACTCCCTTTCTTCTTTATTTTTAATCACGCCGAAAAATTCCGTTTGGTAGACTTCTTCCAACGAAATCTCAGGAATAATTAAACTCTGCGGGGGGGGGGGGCTTTCTTAAAAAGAACTAGAGGAACCTATTTTCCTCCTTTTTTAAGTTTTAGACTGTAGATTATTTATTAAAATTCTTTAATAATAGGGAAAGGGGAAAGTATTTATTGTACATTATTTTCATAGATTAAATAAATGTCTTTATAATCGAAAATGAGTGTTTGTATTGGACCTAGCCCCTTCCCTGTCCTCCAGGCCTGACGGCCCTGGTGCAGGAAGGACCCGGCTGCGGTTGGTCCGGTTCAGCGGCCCAGGCGCAGCGGCGGCAAAGCCCGGGGATTGGCAGAGTCCGGGTGGCACAAAAAGGGCCCCGCATGGTGGCCACGTCTCCATCCGGGCTCCAGGAAGAGTGGGGGGAGATGCTGGGCGCGTTCCCCACACGGATGACTGTTGACCCTGTGCTGATGTTCCTGGGCCTTCTGCTTAGAAATACAGGCAGCTGGCTGAAGAGAGAGGGTGTGTGGGGAACAGAACAGAAGCTGGGGCAGGAACAGGAGGTCTGGGGACAGGATTCGGAGTCGTGGCTGAATTAAGAGGGGTCTTAGGCTCCCCAGATTTCCGCCTGTAAGGCCCAGAGCCCGGAGAGGGCCCCAGAGAGGCAAGGCCTGGGGCATGGGCCATGCAGGTGGCTCAGGACTGGAACAGGGATCTAGGGTTTCCAAGGTACCCAAGAATTGTAAGTGGCACCCAAGTGGCCAGGACAAGAGGCCCGCTAAGGACTCCGGCGCGGGGACACCGCTGGTCTTTGGTCACCCCGGGATGCCCGGGGTCGGGAGCTCAGGCATCCTAGCCAGCCAGGCCCGGGCACCCTCGGGAGACGCCGGGCCGCGGGGAAGCAGGAAGCGTCAGGCAGCGCGGGAGGGAGGCGGGAAGGAGGAAGATGCCAAGATGGCGCTGGGCTGCCGGGCGGGCGAGGGAGGACGCGGCGGCGGCGGCCATGACAGCGGCTTGGGCCGGGGACGCGCGCGAGCAGCCGGCCGCCCCGCCCCCGCCGCGCGGCTCCTTCAGGCCGGGAGCCCTGTGCGCGCGTTTGATCCTCTGTTCCTAAAGAGCCCAGGGGATGCTGAGCATGCGAAAGGGACGGAGAGTCCGCGTGGGCGCGGGACCCGGGGAGGGGACGCGCAGCGGTCTTGGGGCCTGGGTTTTGCTTCCCAACAAGTGTGACTTTAGATCCTTGGCTCTGAGATTTGAAGCCAGGCCAGAACTTAATGCAAAATGCAGACCCACCTGTCTTAGCCAACAACTCCATTTTCCACTTCAACCTCCCATTTTGCTGCAGTCTCCCCCCCACCCCCACCCCCGCCTGGGCCCCTGCAACCCTTCCCAGCCCCTTACAGAGCCGTGGAGCGGGAAGCAAGGATCGATATCCCCCATCTGCTTCCTGGTTTGTTCTTCGGGAACGTGGAGATTTAAAGGGCCCTGGAAAGCCATATATCCTCCTTCGGTTTATTTAATATTTCTAGGGCTCAGAAACAGGCACCACGGGGCTACCTCCCTGGCAGATGCTGCGGTTCGCTAAAAGCACTTTATTTCCTGGGCCTCCCAGATTCTTTTTCCCTGGGCCAGCAGGACCGGGACTTAGAGCACCAGGCACCACAACTGTCAGGCTGAGCCAGGAGCCAACATAGGTTGGGACATAGAGGACTAGGCAGGCTCCTTGCATATTTTTCTAAACCGCTCCCTCAGCATGAAAAGTCCACATTTTATTCAGCTGGAATGTAATCTCTTAAACTGTCCTAATACAGAATCATCTAGTGCATTAAATAATCTTATGTCATGTTAAATTGCACTTATTTCTCTCATAAATAAATTAATATAGAACAATTAGATGTGTTATTATAATAATATCATGTATCTTATTACTTTATTTTCCCTCATAAAATATATAGGTATGAAATAAATTCAATATATTAAAGTAATAACACACAGCTTATTGGCTTGTGTTTATTTTCCCTATAAATAAGTGAATATGCAATATATTAAAACCACACTGTACATCTCATTGGGCTGTGTGTTTATTTCTCTGTAAAATATGCCCACAGGCAGTGTTCAACATCTTAAAAATCACAGCACATAAGGCATCTCCACCCTAGCGAAATGAAAGAGACATTTCAGCTTGGGCTTTGATTTCTATGGACAGCCAAACTAGATAATTTGGTCTAATTAAAAATGCTCTTGCAGCTATAGCAGGTTGTTACAAAGATCAAGAATACCAGAAGGATCTGGCTAATTACCCACCTTCCAGTTTTCTTTGGTCAAAGGACAGGACCCTTTATCAATGCCAAAAAAACCCAGGCGCTGCCCTGCTTGAGGGGAGTCCTCATTCCAATCCTCAGGGGTCTTGAGCCTTCAGCTCTCTGGGGCCTGCCCACTCTCTGGGCCAGCAGGAGCCCGGTGGCAGCAGCCCTGTGAGCTACTTAAAAATGCAGATTCCTAGGCCCCACTCTAGACTTACTCAATCAGAACCTGCAAGTCATCAGGTCCCTAAATGATTGTTAGGGACATTAAAATTGGAGAAGTATGCTAGCTCCAGTATCACCTTGCTTGGTTCCTGCCTTCCTCTAGGCTGAAGAATTTTTTATTCCTTTTTTTTTTTTTTTCAATTCCTGGCCACTACCTGCCCATCCTCTCAAATTCCAGGGAATGCATTGCCAATGTGGAATTATTCAGAAAGCAATGGGATTCAGAGTGCCTGTGCTGCAAATGAGCTCTGTCACTGGCTCCTGTTAGCTGGAAATTTTCGAGTTGGCTACGGGGAAGGAAGGGGAAGAGGGATGATTTCCGGGTAGGGCTGTGGACTCTCCCGGCAGTGGCTGGTGGCTGCATGCACCCTATCCTGACCAGGGCAGGGGTTGGAGAGGGTCAGGGCCAACTGTGAGAAGCCCGTAGCCCAGATAGGTTACAGATTGGCTGTGGTTGGACTGGAGAGATCTCAGTGCAGCCCAGAAAGTTGCTGCTCAGTCTGGCCTGCTTGAGGTGAATTGTTCTTCTAAGAAGAATGGCTCATTAATATCATGGTGAAAGCAAAGGGCCATTAGATTGAGGAATTACTTGCAATCATGATAACCCGCAGTCATTAAAAAAAGAAGAGGGCTGGGGATTTAGCTCAGTGGTTCCACAGCCTGGCTCACAAGCGCAAGGTCCCAAGTTCAATCCCAGACTGGTCAAGTCCTTTCCCCTTTCTAGATCTCAGTTTCTCTATGTGTGAAATAAATGGAAGAATTAAATGTTTCTAATGTATTCTGCAATAATATCTGCCCCAAATTACTCATTAGTCTTCAGGAGCATGCATTAAATATTTATTTTGGTTGGAGTCATAGGCTTTTAAGGGAGCCTTGGTATCCTACCTCCCACATTTCTGGTGTGATCATTTTAACAAATTTTAATTTGTATCGTCACACCAACAAGCATGGCCCCAATCATGGCTTAATGAGGAGGGAGAGAAAGCTTTTCACCAAGGAGGCCCTGGGTACACTGTTATGTGCTAGGTATCACGTAGTCAATAAATAGGACTATAGGGCTGGGGATTTAGCTCAGTGGCACAGTGCCTGCAGGGCAAGCATGAGGTCCTGAGTTCAATCGTGGGTACCAAAAATAAATAAATAAATCAATAAGACTATTCAGAAGTGCCCCGGGCAAGTTTCTCTCTGGCTTTCTTCCTCTGCCACCTTCCCTGATATCTGGCTAGGTTTGCTCTTTTTAAGTAAAGAATAGGGTTTTCTTTCTTTTTTTTTTTTGGTACTGGGGATCAAACTCAGGACCTCATGCTTGCCAGGCAGGTGCTGTGCTGCTGAGCTACATCCCCGACCCAAGAATAGGCCATTTTGTGCTGGGGATTTAGCTCAGTGGTTCCGCTGCCTGCCTTGCAAGCGCAAGGTCCGGAGTTCGATCCCCAGTACCACCCCCCCAAAAAATCCAAATAATAATAAAGAAGTAGGCCATTTTATATAAAGAGCCACTGAATTTCTTCTTTGACACAGTGTAGTCAACTTTTATCTGGTTGTTGGGCCTAAGAGCACAGGTACTAATCCAGTTTCCTCCAACAGCCCCGCCAAGCTCCTCTCCCCACCTCCCCCCAGGCCTCTGACCCATGGCATGGGTTCCAGAAGCATGTGGTCAGTCAGAGCCATGTCCTGCCTTTGTCCCCTGGGCTTGCTGGTGCTGCTGTAGCCCAGCTCTGCCCGCCCCTCCTCCACTCCCCCGGGGCAGCCAGGCAGGTATCTCTGACCAAGAGGACCTAAAAACTGTTCCTCTCTCAGAGAACAAAGAGTGACAACCTTCTTACAAACTTCTCTAGCTCCCAGCCACCACAGAAAAGTCACAGCCTGGACAGTCATCCTGCTCCAAATTCAGGGGGACGAGTATCTGACAAAGTCTCCAAAGTGAATATTTGGCCCCAAACTATCACATTTAGATAAACCCAGTTAAGTAGAAAATTATTGCAATTCTTCATGTCACTTGAACTTTTCCTTTCAGAAAGACCCCGACGATTATTGAGTCATGTCCTCAGTCATTCCTGTGGGCCAGAAGTCTGCACCCAGCTGATCTCTTCCCATCCAGGAAGTCAGGTTCAACCCTTAGTTGCCCTCTGAGAAACACAAATTCTAAGCCAAACACCCTTAAAGAAGCAGAGAGGACATCCTCTCCCTTTAATAGAGACGGTTCCCCAAATATTTCAAAAGTCAAGAAGTTCTAATATTTAACCTCAAACTTTTTGGAGATAATTTTAATCATTTATGTTTTTATAGCTATTAAATATTAGACCTTAGTTTCAAAACCTCCTTCAGCCTAGAAGAAAACCTCTCACTTAAACAGTCTACCTTCTTCATTCTAAATGAAATTTGCACACGATAAAGTACATATTGTATAATACATGATGATAGCAT